TACCTAAAAGATTAGGGTCATTAATTTGCTTAATAAAGTTGGTAATATGATGTTGAAGTTGAATATCCCAGATGTTCTGAATATTATAAAGTTGTGGGTGAAGAAAAGTACTTGTGGGGAATATAGGCCAAATCTTTCTAGTAGTTTAAACAAATAGTTCTTAGATATTTTGAATTTTTTTAATTTTTTAATAATAGATTGTGTTATTAAAGCTAAGTAGAAAAATTTTGACAAAAATAATGAAAGCTTTTTATACAGCATATAAATACTCTAAATAAACTATTTCTTTTTTATTATGATCTAATATGACTGATTTTAGACAAAATATAATATTAAAATAGCAAGATATTTGTTTAAATAAAGTTTCTAAAGAAATCTGGTTGATTGATACTATTTAATTATTTTTAAAAGTAACTATAAGCAAAATTTTTAGACTATTTGTTCACTTATAAGTAATTTTAGATTAATAATAAATAAACTATTTTTTATAATGTATACAAGAATATCTTGTTTAGAAAAAAACTATTATTTACAAAATACTAATTTCTTTCTTATATAGCACTTGTGCTATGATTTTTAAATATCTAGAAGAAGAAGAAAATAGTAAGCCTGATAGGACAATCTGATTAAAGGTTAAAAATATTAAATTTGTGATTCTCTATATTGAGGTTGTTAGTTTGATATTAAAAGGAAAAAGGCTTTAAGAAGATGCAGAAAAGCTTTAACAATTTATCAAATTAAATCTTAATAAAATCTTCTAAGATATTCAGTTTTGTTATAAGGAAAAGATAAATAAAATTAATTAAAAAAAATTTTATGATATTCTTTTAATTATAATTTAATTAACATATAATCTTACTATTTTTATATATAATTAATATAATATGTTAACTAGTAATTCTATAATTTACAAAAGTTTTTTTAGAAATATTTTTGATTTCAATAATAAGTGATTGAAAAACTTATCTGCTAATCTGATCCATCAAACTACATTATGTTAAAATACACTTAAATATTTATGATAAGCAACATGAACTCAAATTACTAAAAATGTTTTAGGAGATTTGAAATATTTTAAAAATAATATTTGAAATTTGGAGAAAATTTTTAAGTGAATTAGAGGAAATAATAATTATACCCTTAGAACAGTGATCAAAACTTGATAAAAATATTGTACTATTCAAAAATTTTATATCTGAGCAGTTTTCACAACTGAAATATTGTCATTAATTTGTTAATCAAATTGATTCTACTTTACTATTGTAATAAATAATATTTATACTGTTAAAGATGCAATATTAAAGATAATCAATGATGTTATACAATTTATTTTGTAACAATTTAATTCATGCCCAATGCATATAATTTAATTAAATATAATGATTAAATTAATGTAAATCAAATATTGAGTATAGTGTTACAAAACTGCTATTAATTCTTATTTTCAATTCTTTTTTTTTATTATTAAAAGTCAGCTACTATATTTTATGTATAATTTATTAAAAGTTAGTAACATATACTATTAAAAGTCAGCTAATATATTTTACGTACAATTTATTATAATTTATTAAAAGTCAGTTAATATATTCTATTAAAAATCAGCTATATACTATATTTTAAACCAAGAATTCGGTATCCAAACGTTGAACCCGATTTAGGTTCAATTCTGGATACACGACCTAAAATTTAGGTAAGTGAAGCGGGAACCGGACATTCTTAAAATTCAACAGTGTAAAGACTTTAAAGGCTTTCACCTCGGTTCCCTCAGCTCCAGCCAATCAAATTTTTCAATTGTCCATATAAATAATTTGTGTAACAATGGTTTCGGAATCTAATTTCTTCTATGCTGTGTTAACGTTAACACTTTATTTACAGTATACTAAAAATGTAAGCGCCTCATAATACGAACTATTGTCTGCATTTTATATACTTTAGCGTATACATTCCAACGTACCATAAAAAATTGAGCAAACTTTTATAAAGTTACTATACTACAAAGTTTGTGTTTAATTTGATTATTTTACCAGCGTAAATTTGATTTATTAATCGGTTAACAATTTTCATAACAAGCTTTCTTGCAGAAATTCATTTGATTCAATTGCTCTAAGCACCGCCAAAAACTTCATAATCTTCAATAATCTTCAATGAAGAAGAAAGTATTTTGTTTAAGGTTGTAACATTTAAATATAAGATAATTGAAGGTGTAACCTGCGATTAACTAAAACACAGCATAAATTAAATCCGTGTTCTATTGACTAAATTTGCACAATAATATCACAGTGAAATGACTTTCATACTATATACAGATATTTTTATTGATGTATACGAACCAATAAGAATAATATAAACAATATAAACAATATAAACAAGACCTATTCAATTACGTATTCGCGCTCACTACCGCGTTGAAAAGTTGTAGAATTCAATATTACAAAAATGTAACTAGTGTGTTTTGTAGTCAACTAAAATTTATTGATTCGACATTTAAAAATCGGCTTAGTCGACTATGTCGAGTCGATTGCCTGTAGTATGTAAAACATGTATTCATCGAAATATCACGAGTTACGTAAGTCAATTTTCTGAAAAAATCAATTGACTTTGTCTATCTACTAAGCCGATTTTTATCGGAAATAGATCACAATCGATGCACTTCTATTTATCGACTCTAAAAGCTATTCTACCTAATTTATACCTAATTCTTTTAACAGCTTTTTAGCATTTTCATGTTTACCATCAGCAGCTAATTTTAGATACTTTATCCCAAGCTCTCTATTTTCATTATTTTTCGGTATTTTAAATTTTCCATGCACATAAATATCACCCAAATAATACATAGCATCAACATTTTTATTATCAGCAGCTAATTTAAAGTAATGTAGAATTTGATTACGGTTATCTTCTCTTGTAGCCTCATCATCATCTTTTTTAAGATCCGAAAGTAAAGCAACAGCATAACGACACTGTGCAATAGTATGATTATTATCGGCAGCCTCTTTAAAGAGTTGTTTTGCTCGTTTTATATCCTTTTTAATATTATTATGACCATAATAATAATAATAACCTTGCCAATATCTTGCTTCTATATTACCAAGATTAGCATTTTCTTCGAAACACTTCCAAGCATTTTTATAATCTTTGGCTTTATGAAGTTCAATTCCTTTTTCAAGGGGCGTTACAGGCATTTCAAAGTTAACTGATGTTTCTTCTTCACCAACTCTTCTATACGTTTTCTTATCTGACAATATTTGAGCATTAGAGATCGGATATTTTCCAGCCAAATCTTCAAGTAGATTGTGTAAACTCGTAAGAGCTATTCGTTGATGTGGTACATGATGCCATGCTATTTATTAATTAAAAATAGAATATTAAATTAAAACATAGAATATTAAATTAAAACATAGAATAATAGAAAATTAATATTAGAAAAAAAAGGTTTATTTGAATATTTACTTTTGTCAATAATTTTAGTGAATTCTATTTGAATCTTCTTGTCATTAGGATTTTTAAATTTTCTAATCGGAAGCTTCTCTCGTTTACCACTTAAAACATGATCTACTATTTCGTTAGGATTATAGTTTTTATAAGGCAATTCATCATAACAAAGTTCCCACATAAGCATTCCAAAACTAATTGCAAGATTAATTATTAGAAAAAATTTTTCACTGAATTTAAAAAGAATGATTCAATACTAAATGATAAATACCTGAACATCTCGCAATTAAATGTATATACTTTTTCTTCGTATTTGTCTTGTTTATATTTATTAATCAATTCAGGAGACATCCAACGAAGAATATCAGTTACTAAACCGGCAAGATTCATAGTATTTTCGTCTGCCTCACGGGCATACCTAAAATTCCCAAGTTTTGGATCCAAACTATCTTGTATCTAAAAATTTAATATTTAAATATTTTAATAATTCATTACGGATAAAAACATTAAATGTCAAAAATTATATCAATAATTTTTTACTAAATAATACTTACAAAAACATTTTCACATCTAACATCATGATGAAAAACGTTTACTCTACGTAAAAATACTATGCCACGACAGATATCACGAATAATTCGTATTTTTCTAGGCCAAGGAATTTCATATTTGTTATAAAGTTCTTTTAAATTTCCATGTGTAGCCCAATCAACGATCATAATTTTATGATTATCATAAGTTGAAAGACCATAAAAACGAAGAATATATGGTGATTCGCTTAGTTTTCTAAGTATTGCAAGTTCTGTTTTGAGCTTGTCAGGATCTCTAATAGGTTTACATGCAACTTCAACACAAGCTTTATAAAACTTTCTCGTAATAAGATTATCTGAACCACGAACGTCACTCTTCATTGAATTTAGAGGCTCACTTAATTCACATGGATTAATCATAGAAGCATCGATGTCACATAATTTTTGGGATTTTATAATAGAGATATCTTGAGCTATAATATCGATTTGCTGCCTCATATCTTTAACTTCAAAATTAGTATCTTTGGTTATTGATTCGAGATTTTTGAGAGCCTAAAATAGTTAATAAAATTTCAAATTAATTTAAAATTAAATGTAATATTACAAATAACAATTTCAAATAAATATAATTATACTTACAATTTGAACGTCATTTAAAGCTTTTGAAACCTTTTTTGAATCCGAATTTCTTTGATTTTCATTAACAATTGCTAAAGTGAATTGTAAATCCTCCATACACTTATTATATTCATCAGTTAATTTATCATATCTGCTTCTAACTTCTGTTGCATTAAGAAATTTTTTATAGCCTTTAAGATTTGCTACATTTTCAGTATAATCTTTGATTTTACGTAAAACATTTATAAAACTTTGAAAAGCTAAATAATATTCTTTTTTCCGAATATTATCTTCATTCTCTTCTATATTTCTCATCATCATGCCTATAGCATGTTCAGCATTTTTCACTCGATTTGTCATAATTAAACAAATTTCTTTATTACATTCTGCATTTTCATAAATGCGATTAATTTCCTTAGCTATGTTATTAACCACATTGACTAAAGGAATGTATAGAGCTACAATTTCTGCAACAGTTGTAATAGTTAAATCCATGATTAATTTTTAGTGACGC